TTTTGAATAAATGAAGATAAGCCTCCTTCTGAAGATTGAAGCCTGTAGCACAGCCCCTCTTGGTGTCTTTTTGCAAGGCTSTAACAGAGATTGGTGTAATTCCCAATATTCACAGCAAGTCMCTTGAAGTAATGATGCTTTGCTTCAAAMCGCATGCACCAACTTCGAACAAGAGGACCAAGTCTAAKAAAKGATTTTAAAATATTATTTAGAATTCATTATGAAGACAAATGATAATAATTAAACTACCTATTTCTAGCTATGAATCYAACATGATGATCAAAATAATAACATCAAAGATTTTTAAAATTAATACAACATTTTGCTTACTGTAGCATTGTCCTTGGCATGTGAACCATGTAGTGCATTTTTGGGATTATAGAGCATTGAGGGTATAGTTCTTTAAACTTCTCKAGATATTCTTGGATAAGGACTTGTAAGTAGGGCATTTGACCCCGATTGATGATTGGAGAAAATATGATTCTTACAATCTGCAACAGTGTGCAATACAGATGCCACTTTTCATCATCTTCAGGAACCAAATTTCCTATSATGAGAGGGAGATGAAGACCAAYACACCACATTTGATTTGCTATAAATAATGATAAAAAAGGAAGAAATTATAAAGAGTAAAAAATCATATTAGAAATGTATACATCGCATTAATAGTATATACTACCATGRTGTCTTAGGCTGTRGTCTGGAGATTCTAGCTTTTTCTGTGCAATTTGAGCAGGTCTGTTAGTGTCATTATGGTATCCATAATCACATTCAGCAATTCTTTTGTTCAGCTCCTCAACAGTGAATAGCTTTTCTTCAATAARATAGAATTTCAYTAATTCTTTAACACTGTACTGAAGAACACCTTCCAAAACATCATGCATTGCATCAGCTGGAAGACCTCCAACAACATGAAAGTATCTAGAGTTGTTTAAAAYTGATCTGCTGTTTAATCCATAGGTCTTCTTGAAGTGTTCACCCAAAATTAGCCGTCCACACTGCACATCATGACTTGCTTTGTTTCTTAGTTCAAAGAAATCCTCATGGAACTGAAAGAAATTCATATTAACATTTATACGGTACCATTTATACCCCCCCTCTCTCTCTCTCTCTTCACTTCAAAACTAATTAGCTCTCGAGAGCACATTGACAGAAATGACAGAACAAATACTATCAGCTTGTTGATCTTATTTTCAACTTCCTTATACAGAATTCTTAATGTTTTCTTGTCTTTAATCCACAATAAGCCATGCTCTCAAATGTGCCAATAGAGGACTTATGGTAATACAATAAGAAACCCAATACACTGTAGCTTTATTTTCTTACATGTGTTTTCAGCGCTTCGGGATCACCCATACAAACTCTACATCTTCYGTGTGATTTGGAACCTTGCTTGTATCCACCTAAGAGTTGGGACCCTAAGTTATCCCCTGAACAGTAAGCAATGCTTCCTCGAAATGATCTTAGCTCTCCTTTAATGTTGAATTCATAGCCATTGTCCTAAAACAAATTATTTTAATAGATATGAAAATACAATTTATATGAAACTACT